TGTCTTTTTTTCTTTTCGCATGTTCTCTATCTATCATGCTAAGTAATATTTATTTTAAGATTAAAGATACTTTTATGCATCAAAACTTTTTCAAAATTTCACATGCAAAATCTTTATAATGTCCAGATAGTTATCAAACGTTTCTTAAGAAAAAACTATTTTATCTATTATTTTCAGTAGTTAATCTCTGTACGGGTTTGGGAGATTTGACTGATCTCGCAACAACCATAAAAAAATTAGGAAATATGTATAAATTATGCCTCTTTCATTCTAGCATGAACATAAATTATAACACGAAAACATAAATATTTAAGCTAAATAGCTTAAATCTCATAACATTCTGCATTTATTACTTTATTACATTGACCTTTGAGCCGTTACAATGACACGGCTCACGTGCACTCATGTTACCGTATCAGATAACATAAAACTGACCTTTGGTCTGTACAAATTAACTTGTCTTGGCTGTGTTTTAGTAGACTAGTATTTTGTAAAATACAGTCATATTTCAATTATTATACATTATATATGTATAAAGATTATTGCTATTTTGAAACAAGTTCTTAAACTTATTTTTCTTAAAACATACAACAGTAAATAAAGAATTAAAGCAAACACTTATTTCCTAGTTATGACCTTTGTACTCAATTGCTGCTTTAGGTAGGTTGCTATGTTTTTAAAAATTGTGCATATGGAAGATATGAAACAAAATAATTTTTTTAGGTTTGATATATACATTTGAATAACTAAAAAAAATCATAAATTACTACATCAATACCATAGAATTCTACTACAATTTATCAAGTTTAGCAACTAAGGTGTATTTTAGTCTAAAAAATGTGAAATTTAGAGCAGACTAAAGACAAATCCTACCTTCTTGAAATGTTGGTTCAAAAGAAAGAAATGGCACCATGCCCATTAAAATGGCTGAGAAAGCCACTAGGGGAACATTCTGAGCTTCTGATTGATTATTCATGTCATATATATAAAAACGGAAAGA